CTGGGGGCTCCTCTGTGCTGTGCTACACTGTGCTACACTGGGGTACATGGGGGTACACAGGGGTACACGGGGGGCCCTGCTCTGCTGTGCTGGGGTACACTGGGGTCTCTGCTGTGCTGTGCTGTGCTGTGGTGGGGTACACGGGGGGCCCCCGCTGTGCTGTGCTGTGGTGGGGTACACGGGGGGTCCCCTGTGCTACACTGGGGTACACTGGGGTCTCTGCTGTGCTGTGTTGTGCTGCACTGGGGGCTCCCCTGTGCTGTGCTGTGCTGTGCTGTGCTACACTGGGGGCTCCCCTGTGCTGTGCCGTGCTGGGGTACACTGGGGTACACGGGGGTACTGACGCCCCGTCCCCCCCCGGCCGGCCCAGGCCACGCGGGACCTGGAGAGCTACGACGCGGCTCGTCACGAGGAGTTCAAGAGGTACGAGATGATGAAGGAGCACGAGCGGAGGGAGTATCTGAGAGGACTGGAGCAGGACAGGCGCCAGCAGGAGGAGCGCAGGCTGGAGCAGCTGAGGGAGAAGCACCGGGAGCACCCCAAGATCAACGCCCCGGTGAGGGGGTCAGGGAGATCGGGGCTACTGAGAGAGGGAGGGGGAGATCGGGGTTACTGAGAGAGGGAGGGGGAGATCGGGGCCACTGGGAGAGGGGGGGAGAGATCGGGGCCACTGGGAGAGGGAGGGGGAGATCGGGGTTACTGAGAGAGAGAGGGGGAGATCGGGGCCACTGAGAGAGGGAGGGAGAGATCGGGGCTACTGAGAGAGGGAGGGAGAGATCGGGGCTACTGAGAGAGGGAGGGAGAGATCGGGGTTACTGAGAGAGGGAGAGATCGGGGTTACTGAGAGAGGGAGGGGAGATCGGGGCTACTGAGAGAGGGAGGGGGAGATCGGGGTTACTGAGAGAGAGAGGGGAGATCGGGGTTACTGAGAGAGGGAGGGGGAGATCGGGGCCACTGAGAGAGAGAGGGGGAGATCGGGGCTACTGAGAGAGGGAGGGGGAGATCGGGGCTACTGAGAGAGGGAGGGGGAGATCGGGGCTACTGAGAGAGGGAGGGGGAGATCGGGGCTACTGAGAGAGGGAGGGG